TGCTCTCACATGCGCGCTCTCTCTCTCTCTCTCAAAAAAAAATAATAATCCCAGCTCTGCCATTTCCCATCTGTGGGAACTGGGCAAGTTTCTTCCTCTCTCTGGGCGTCTGTTTCTTCACACATAAAATGGGGGATGATAATTGCACCTGTCTGGAAGGGTTCCGGGGAGAATCAATTAACATGTGTACAGTGTCCAGACACCCTGCAGATAGGAAGTAAGTGTGGGCACGTCCCTCTTTTTTTTCTTTTTCTTTTTTCTTAATTCTCATTCGATCGGTGGAACTACTAATTACATTTTCCTCTTTCTGGCCTTCAGAGTCTTGCTATTGAAAATGGGACCAGACAGCTACGGTCAGCCGGAAGCTGGAAGGTGAGGGCCCCAGGCCTGGCACCACCACGATGAAGCCTCATCTTTCACTTCTCAGGCACGAGCTCCATGAGGACTGCTTCTAGGTCCCTGACACCCAGGAAGGGGTTGGCACTGGGTGTTTGTTGTACGAACGAACAAAATCAACAAAAGGAGAATGGAGAGAGGGGTAGAAAGTAAACAAAGGACACGTAAAGAAGTTAACAGGGGGGCGCCTGGGTGGCTCAGTCAGTTATGCGTCTGCCTTCGGCTCAGGTCATGATCCCGGGGTCCTGGGATCGAGTCCCACATCGGGCTCCCTGCTCAGCAGGAAGCCCGCTTCTCCCTCTCCCACTCCCCCTGCTTGTGTTCCCTCTCTCGCTGTGTCCTATCAAATAAATAAATAAAATATTTTTTAAAAATTAAAAAAAGAAGATAAAAGTGGAAGTTAGGAGCTGGTTGAAACCCTAATGAAGAAGCCTCGCTCTATTGCCAGGAGCAGGGGAGACTGGAAGGGGTGGAGAGTACCCGGTACCTGCAGTGAACAATTTTCCTGCACCAGAGATCACCACAGCCCGACAGTCAGGGTCTTGTGCTATCTTGTTGAAGCACTCCACCATCTCTCTGGGAGGGGCAAGGAGAAAAAGGCTGTGTCTTGGAAGGGTACCCCTGCCCTCATGTCACCTGTCGCCCACATCCCACCCCTGCCCACTCCCTCAGCCCCTGCCTCCTCCTGCAGGCAGGCCTCCGTGATCTGCAGGCCCTACCTCCAGAAGGCTCTGTTCATGGCATTCCTCTTCTCAGGCCGGTTTAGCTGCACATGCAGGATGTGTTTTTGAGCAACTGTCACCTGAAGGGACTCATAGTTGTGGTCTGGCGCTTCTCTGGGGGCTGCTGTGGAGGCCTCATCTTGAGCAATGGAGCTCATGGGGCGAAGGCTAAGGCTGAGACCCTGGGGGATGGGAGCCATCACTCCTGGGGAGGCAAAGTAAAGAAGAGCCTTTGATGACCCCAAGTTGGGGACACCGTGCCTTCAAGAGCAGAAGGCACACATTTCATCTCAGTGGTGTTAGACTGGGGAACACAGGTCCTTAAGAAACCTCAGTTTAGGGGGATACAAACTTTCAGATTAGGAGTACACTTCTCAGTGGCCTCAGTGTGAGGCCTCCTTCAGACCCTTGATCATGGGACTGACTCCACATTGGGAACACCAAGCTGTCAGCGACCCAACTGTAAGACACAGGCTTAAAGAATTAGGGAGCTCTTCGGTTGGGAGCATATGCACCCCTGTGTTTAAGGTGCTCAGACCGGGACTCCATCCTACGGAGACTATGACAGCACGCCAGAGCAACGGGCTTCCAGGGGTCGAGGTGACTCACGCCGTATCAGCAGGTTCCGGAGACTGCGAGAAGCCGCCATCGCTGCCGCCATCGCAAGCTAGTAGGTAGGGGGACTAACCCAACAGACAGGAAGAAGCTAAGGGGGCGGGCACGACGCCACCATGTTTGGCGAGGGCACCGACGCCGCAGCCCGATAGCGGTGACGCCCGTCTTCCCGCCATCTTTACTAAGGGCAACCGGAAATAGCCTTCTTGGTTCGCCGACCTCCCCCTTAGCAACCGGGCCTTTGCCCCAGTAGGAACCTGTCCCATTATTGCTGCTGGACGTTTCATCACAGCGCTGTTTTATAATGGTGGAAAAATTGAAAACAGCTGCAATGTTCAAGGACATAATGGCAGAATAACTGCAGCCCCACAGTTTTGTCATCATGCACTTGTACCCTGTTAACTGAAAAAAAAAAAAGTTCGCTAGTACTGAGCTTATCCCTGTAAGGGAATGAAAATATAGATGAGCCAACATTGTGCGCTCTCCGTATAATCTGACTGAACTCTCACACCACCAAGAGGTCGCACTATTTTTGATCCTACACGGAGGAAACTGGAGCTTGGGGGAGGGAAAGTCACTAGCTCAAGGTTATCTGGGCTTCAGGAGTGCTGAAGAGGGGATTTATGTGGCTCTGAAGATTTTTTTTTTTTTAAGATTTTATTTATTTGAAAGAGAGAGACGTAGCGAGAGAGGGAACATGAGCAGGGGAAGTGGGAGAGGCGCCCCTGAAGATCATGTTCTTAAAATAATTTCTTTAGTCCCGCATCGGGCTTCCTGCTCGGCAGGGAGCCTGCTTCTCCCTCTGACCCTCCCCCCTCTCACGTGCTCTCTCTCTCTCATTCTGTCTCAAATAAATAAATAAAATCTTTAAAAAATAAAAAATAATAATAATTTCTTTAAAAAACAAAACCACTTTGGAAAAAGCCAGCTAACCCAAGAACATCAAAAGCGCCATAAACTTGCTGAAGTATGCTCTTTAGGGAGATGTGCACCAAGGTGAACAGAGGCCTCCAGGCAAATGGGATTGTAGGAAATACCTTGCCTTCTTAGCGTGTCATAGGCGTGTAAGCTCTTTTGGAAAACAGACCCAGTAAGTTCCATCAAGAGAACTGTTTATAGTTATCTACACAATGGGAAGCTCTAAAGCCACTGTGCAGATGCCAACATGAGGAACAATTTTACATTTCTTCAGCATTTTTTTTTTTAAGATTTTATTTTTTATTTGACAGAGACACAGCGAGAGAGGGAACACAAGCAGGGGGAGTGGGAGAGGGAGAAGCAGGCTCCCCGCAGAGCAGGGAGCCCGATGCGGGACTCGATCCCAGGACCCTGGGATCATGACCCGAGCCGAAGGCAGACGCTTAACGACTGAGCCACCCAGGCGCCCCTAGGATTTTTATTTATTTATCAATTGTTATGTTAATCACCATACATCATTAATTTTAGATGTAGTGTTCCATGCTTCATTGTGCATAACACCCAGTGCTCCATACAGAATGTGCCCTCTTGAATACCCATCACCAGGCTAACCCATCCTCCCACCCCCCTCCCCTCTAGAACCGTTTGTTTTTCAGAGTCCATCGTCTCGTGGTTTGTCTCCCCCTCCGATTTCCCCCCCTGCTATCTTTTTTTTTCTTAACATATATTGCATTATTTGTTTCAGAGGTACAGATCTGAGATTCAAGTCTTGCACAATTCACAGCGCTTACCAGAGCACATACCCTCCCCAGTGTCTATCACCCAGTCACCCCATGCCCCTAGGACTTTTTTTAAGTAATCTCTACACCCAACATGGGGTGCAACTCACCCCTGAGATCAAAAGTCACACGTTCTACCAATTGAGCCAGCTACGCGCCCAAAGAAAATTTAAGGATGTACATTTAGCATGATCAGTTGGTGTAAAAAAGATGGTTTATATATGGCCCTCTGTGCATAGAATACAGTACATACAAAAGAGGATCTCTGGAAGGAGATTCAAAACTGCTGACAAGGGATGACAACTGGGTGTTGGGAAGCAAAATGAGAACATTTTCTTACACCCACGATTGGCTTGAAAACAAATGCTAGAGGATTTGGAAGTTTATGGCTGCAAGGCAACTGTGGTTTCTCCCTTCCAGAGGTTGTTTGAAACTTACCCTGGCGAAGCAGTTTCTTCATTCCATAAATGCCATGTGACTTCGGATGTGAATAATCTGAGTTTAAAAACTTCACTGTAAATTCCCCAAGTGGTTTTTTCTTTTCTAAGATTGTAAGAAGTCTCTCACAACCCTGAGCTCAAGAGTTGCCCGCTCCACGGACTGAGCCAGCCAGGCATCCCAGTGAGTTTTCAGGTGCACATGCGTGAACAAGGCACTGTAAACAGTCCTCACTGGTTCTCTGCAGACTGCCTCTCCCTTCCAGCATGAATCAAGGTCCTTAAAGGAGGCACCTTCCACCTACAGCGCCCCCATGCCCCACCCCAACCATCTACCCAAAGTTCCCATCTACCCACAATTAAGTATCACATTGCAATTGTTATCTTTGAGTAGACTCCACACCCAGCGTGGAACCCAACCCTGGGCTTGAACTCACAACCCTGAGACCAAGGCCTGAGCTGAGATCTAGTGCCATTGATGCCTTAACCCCACACCCCAAATTATCTTTTAACTCCACAATTCCACTGCTAGGAACTGACCTCCAGATCAGTATCAGGGAAGTTGGCTTGAGGCATTTGCATGCATAGCAGTACTGTTTACAGTATCAAGAAATTAGATTTCACCTTTACGACCAGGGAAAGGATGACATATCCATGAAGATACTGTACAGGGGTAAAGATAAGCAGCTGTGTGCATGATAGGATATAGAACACTGTACGGCATAAAGCATTTTGTTAAAAGAACTTTATGGGGGTGCGGAAACACACCAAAAATTCTTAAAGGGACTGGGAAGCAGATCTTCACTTTTATCTGAGGTTTTATTTTCCAGCCTTATAAAAAAGCGAGTATTTACTTGGCAGGATGAAAGCTCATTTTTTTAATTCTTGAAGTTCTTAATCTTTTCAGCACCATTTACTTTTTAAGTGACTCTCCAACTAGATTCAGCTTGCTTGGGCAGGGCCCATGAAGAATGCCACGAGCCCTCCCAGATTTTCCTCAACAGACTCCTTAATTCCTAGCAGTGTCCCGGGCTGGGCCTGCATCTCCCGAAGGCCTGAAGCTGTGTCCCAGCCTGCCTGCTCCTCGGCAGGAGACCAGGTGGGAGGTAAGCAGACACAACCTGGAATCCCAGTAAGCGCAATGTTTGTTTTCCAAACAATTTTATTGAAATGTGCCAAGAGTACACGGGTAGCACAAATGTAGGAACAGGAAAAAAAAAAAAATCACATGTACAATAATTTTTTAAAAAGTGAAGGTTAATCTTGGGAGATATCAGGTCCCCCTCCCCTCCCCCTCCAGACTTCAGCGTTTCCGTTATGGTTAAGCCCACTAACCTAGCATTTAAAAAAAAGGAATACAGGAACTTTTGCAAAAGAAAAAAAAAAAAAAACCCAGAAACAAAACAAAACAAACAGCATAAAGGAAAGAGAAATGTTTTCCTGCTCAGATGGGACTCTTCCTGGGCACCTATTAGGAGGCGTGCTGAGCAGTGGAGAAACACAACTTCAGAGTGTAAGGGTATGGACCATCTGCAAAGGAGAACAAAGGGAGGTTTGGCTGGGCCCCCCCTCTCTGGAGGCACCAACCACCCAGCCCCCGTCCGTTTCTGCAGTTCGCCTCCGAGGATCTAACTGGTCACTGCCCAACGTGAGACTTACAAAAAAGCCCAATACTGAAGGCACTTCCCCTCCCCTGCCTTTGATTCCATGGGGAATCCCATCCCCAGCTCCTCAGCTGGCCCAGGGCCTAAGTGGGCAGGTGTTCCCCGCTGGCCAGATCAGCCCCTTTCCGGGGTACCATCTGAGCTAGCCTCTGACGCACAGAACGCCAGTCCCTCAAGCTGGCAGAGTGGCGGCAAGCAGCCAGGCTGGCCCCCTCCCTCCCAGGGGGACCATTGGGCTAATCTCCTGGCGACCAGGTCCCACCTGCCTATGTCAGCACCAGGGAAGAGATCTCTGGGGCCCTATGTCGATGGCAAGGAAGGACGGCTCTGGCCTGAAGCCAGCCCACCGTTAGGCCACGAGGGGGACAGCTACAGGACACACAGATACTCACTTGGGTTTTTCATCTGGTAATGATTCAGGAAGCCCAAAGTCTCCAGGGCATCGCTCTTGGATTCCCACTCCAGCAGCCCAGAGGAGCTGCGTTCACCTGATCAGAAGGCGAAGTCAGTTTTAGGCTGAGCTGAGCAGGAAGCAGGGGGCCACCCACCTACAACTGAGGAATGGGGAAAGGCAGCGGGGGCAGTTTACTCACTTTTGCCTGAGAATACTTTCACAGAAGATGGCCGTTTCACTCCCAGCTCGTCGCAGATCTGCAAGACACAGAAAAGATTCAGAGGCAGGAGTAACCACATGGCAGGATTCACGCAGCCCAAGACAATAGTACTACATTTTCTGGAGTTTCTAAACTTCGATCACAGAACATACTCTAAGGATCCCCCCCCCCGCCCATGACCCAAAAAAAGGTTCAGAAACACCACTCTATGTTTCTACTACCATTAACTACCACCATTGTAGTAGAAACTGCTTTTTAAAATCCCCATCTGGGTGTAGTGGCACTAAACAAATGTTTGCTGAACTGAAGAGCAACATCTCAGGCCCGAGCAAGGTCTCAAGTCCAACCCTGCCAGTCAGCCCTCCTCCCACTCAGTGTCCCAGTTTCGTCTGACGAGGCTTGAACAGGAGCCTCCCTTCTGATGTTATCAAGACATGGAAGGGCCCGACTCCGTCGATGCTCTGAGACTGGATTCTGATCACCTCTCTCACCCAGACACGGAGCAACCTTTTCCAGCAAACAGCAGCCATCCTAACTTTATCAGTAACACAAACGGTACAGCCACCTGCACTGCGGCCAGGGCTCCGGAACCATTCTCAGCCTATCCTGGTCCCTGCTGCATTCCCGGGGCCCAACCCAGGGCCTGGCAGAGCTGTGGCTCAGTAGGTCCTCAAAAAGACTAAAATAAATGGCTCGTTCAGATGGCCGTGGTGAGGGACCCACTCCACAGCACCCACCTCGAAGAAGTTCTCCTCAGTCACCTCCAGAGGGGCATTGAAGAAGTGTAGCACGTTGCTAGGGTGCTGGATGCGGTTCTTGGCTGCCTGCTCTGGAGTAGAGAACCGATTGTTCCTGGATTCGCTGAAGTCTTTATAACTGCAGGACCCGTCTTCTAGCCCGTAGGACTGCCCGGGCATGATGGCCGGTTGCTTGGAGACACTGTACCAGGGGAGGGGAGCTCTCTGTCAGGCCAGAGCGCAAGCCCTCCATGGTGGCCCCATTCCTGTCTGAAGGTGCTGGGTGCCTCAGGGGGCATCGCTCCACAGCTGAGGCGAGGCCAACTCACTTGTTCCCACTGCTTCAGTCAAACGCCGGGGAGCGTTCCCGCCACACCCAACCCCTGCCCGAACAAGCACCCGGCCTCCCTGTGCTCCTCTGCAGGGCCCTTTCCGGAGCGGCCCCATCCCACTTGCTTCTTCCGGCAGCTCCTCTCCAACACCCGCAAGCCTGAGGAGACGGAGTACCTACCAGACATTCAGCTTCTGCCCGAACATGAAATTGTTGTTGAGGTGAGTAATGGCCCGGTCCACAGCATAGCCATCAGCCATCTCCACCATGGCAGCCCCCGGCTTGCTTTTCATGAATTTCACCTTGAGGAGAGCAGTTGTGATCAGTGCCACTGCCCAGCGGCCAGGGACGCTTCTCCCACCCCTTGAGTTAGTTAAAAGGAAGGAACTCCTGGCTCGAGAGCGAGGCTTCCACCCCCTCACTTGTGAATGAGGAATCAGGAGCACTGAACGGCACGTGTGGCCCACAGAAAGGGCTCAGCGTGCCGGGCAGGGTTTTTCTCACCTGGGTACACGACCCATGAGTGCATCGCTTAATGAAGCACAACAAAAACGGGGGAAGCGGCGCACAGTGAGAAAACAAGGCAGATCCTGCCACTGACATCTGTCTGGGAACACACAGACGCACACGGGCTACAGAGTGGGCATGACATGTAACACCACTGTGGGTGACAAGACTGGAAGCAGCGAACAACCCGTGACAAGAGGCGCTGAAGCCAAATCTCTAGCACGAGGTCCTGCTTCCACATAAAGGTCTGGGAACCTGGGCAAGTTATTCACCCACCCTGCCTTCACTGCCCTGACTTGTCTCATCAGGGATTCTAGTAACAAGCAAGTTGCTACGCGTCCAGTCCTTTCCACAGCGCCTGATGCGCGGAGGGCAGGCTTAACCTGCACTATGGCTGCCACCACCGTGACTCCTGGGCTAAGCCAAGGGCGGCGAGCACACAGGCTCCCGGGACTCCGCTGGTTCAAGAGCAACAAGCCACCTGTCCCACAGGCAAGGCAGGAAGGCCCAGGGTGGCCAGATCATCTTAAGTTTTCTGAAGAAAATCCTCACACGATGATCTTCGGCCACAATAGATTTCAGTTTTATAATCACGTTCGTCTGATGTTAAGTATTAGTACTTCCACGTGAAGAAGTCCTGGTTAACGGCCCCGATTAAGAAACAACACCCACGGTGAAGACCAAACAAAACGTCTGCAGCCGGGCGCCTGCTTCAGCGAGTCACCCTCTCGGAACCAGCCTGCTGCCAGCCAGGCTCCTTCCCCCACCGTGACGCACGCGGCTCGGCCCGCTAGGTCTATAAAGGAAGCAACGGACCTAACAGAGGCTCACCTTCTCCACATTGCCATACAAGCAGAAGACATTGAAGACCCGATCACAGTTCATCTTAGATTGATCCAAGCCATAGACCATGAGCACAGGGCTGTCGGCGTGGGGGCCATACTCGGGTGGTGGGGGAGGGGGTGGGGGGTGCCCATACTGGGGGCCGTAGCGACTTGGGCCCCGACGGTGACCCCCCACTGGTGGGCCCATCCTTCTCCCTTCGTAGTGAGGTGGGGGGGGCCCGTAGCCCTCATCATGGTAATGGCTGTGGTACCCACCGTGGGGCCCTCCTGGGGGGTGGGAAGGAAAGAGAGGGAGGACGGGTGAGAATTTGCGCGGCGGGCGGCGGGCAGGGGCACATGAGCCACGGGAGTCCACGGAGGGGAACCCCCTGCCCTCACCATATTCTGCGGGGTGATCTCCCAGGAGAGGGGGCTGTCTCTGGCGTTTGTTAGGGTTGCTGCCAGGATCACCTGCGGACAGAAAAAACAGTCAGAGGCTAACCTGGAACAGAGGGGGTCACCCTCCTGACTAGAGGCTAATCTCAAAGACCTTCAGTTCCTGCAAGCCTGAGGCAAACCCTCCCTTGCTCACCGGAGCTGCTGGGGCCTCCTTCCTGTGGCCTGACTCAAGTGGCATGACCCTTCCTGTGGCATGAAGCCAAGCCTCAAGGCTGGAGCCCACTTCCCTTCCCCTGCCCATGCCAAGTGGCTGGTTTCCGTTCTCTGGGAAGGATGAGGCCAGCTTCTGGGCTCTCCCCTGCCCTGGCCCAAATGAGAAGCCGAGCTCTCAGGTCCTCTGGGGAACCTGCAGATGCTACGGAAGTTGTTACGTTATGGAGGACCAAGAACAGATTTCTAGAACTCCCAAATAAAAGAAGAGGAGTTAAGAGTGGGAAAACCACCAAGGGAAGGCAGGACAGAAAGAAGATAAAATCTGGCCCCCAGAGTTCCAAGGTTCTAGGAGCTCTAGGCCCCACTCTCTAGGCCCCTTCTTTCTCAACCCTGGTCCTCCCGGCCACCCCCCCACCCCCTCCCCCAAGTCACATCCAACCCGAGGAGAGGGACTGTGGGAAAGGACAAGCAGGGCAACATCAGAACCAGTTCAATTGAACAGTCATGTACAAGGCATTGACATTCTCAGACCCCGACAATGGCGCAGATCCACCCCAGACCCCAGCTGCAATGCATAGTCGCTACATGAATTTAGCGCTTGAGTGGCAGACACTGTGCGAAGCGCTTTACAGACATCACCGCTTCAGAAATTCCTCACAACAACCCTATGAGGTAGGTACTATTTTAGCCCCGTTTTACAGATAAGGAACCTGAGCACTCAACTTTTAACTGAGCAGTTAAAAGACACTTTGGCCCAAGGTCACAAAGCAAAAGTTAGCCGCCGAGCCAGGATTTGAACCCAGGTCTGGCTGACTCCAAAACCCAGGGCTCGGGACCACTGCCCTTTCCTGCCACCCGGCCTGGGTTTTGTTTCCAACAATCAGTCATTACAAAGATGGAAAAGGGCTACTTACAGCAGAAGTACAGAGTACAATGTCCATTTGTCACAAAAAACAAATCTGTATTTTCTCTTACCATTGGACGCTTCAACAGTGAGTTAGCACAGTTCTGAAAGATGGCGTCCCATCAAACATACACTGCGACCCTGCATCACATGGTTTTACAGTCATAAATACAAGTTACGGTACACATCCGCTACAATTTTTTTTTTTTTTAAGAATTGTCTTAAAAGTCAATGTTTTTGATTAAATCAAAAATGGCTCACAGATGTTCTGTCCTCAGAAGATACCAGAAAAGTGGAAAATAAAGGTGTATGAAGTGGGTAGTGTCCCTCCGTGTTGTCAGCTCCTCACACTTGTGTGCTGCAGTGCGGTGCTTCTGGCTGTGTAGCGCTCCATGTGCGTGTCTCCTGGGTATGGAGTGTGCCAGTGGCCCCACTATGCCCGCGCTTTTGGCCTTGGGAGCGCGCCCGCTTACCCACCAGCAGGTAACTGTGTACCTCTGAGCTGTTTGGCTGTCTGGTTTTAGGTCTGTTTTGGTTTTTTTGATTTTTTTTTTTTGTTGTGGTTTAAGTTTTTTTTTTTGGTCTCTGATCTCCGGTTGGTGCAGATTATGTTGGCAGCCGATGACTGCGGAAAAAATAAAAATATCAAAACAGAAAACAAAAAAAAGGCCCTCCCCAAACCAAAGGACTTAAAAACAAAAAACAAAAAACAACCCATATGGCGAGGAATGGAGAGAGGATCCTATTGTCTTGGAGGCCCATGGAATCTACTTCGGTCTATGAAACGTTCTCCAAAAAGAGCGCCGCTGGCTGGCTGGGAGAGCTCTGTTCTCTGTGTTTCCTACTTCTGTGTACATTCTCGGGTTCGAGTTTGCTTGGATTTTGCCTTTTTTTTTTTTTTAATGTTTAATAAAAAAGCAGTGTCTGCTGCCATGTTGCGTCTCTTTCTCTCTTTGTCTCTGTCTGCCTCTGTCTCTGTGCTTGTAGCTGTTCCTTGGAGCGCGGTGTGGTGTTCTTGATGTAGTGAGCTCAAGTCTGCGGCTGTTTCTGGGGACGTGGTGGAGGCTGCGTGTTCTGTCCTCTCCAGGAAGAGCTAGTGGTTTCTACCCTGTGTGTTGGTGAGCAATGTGCAGGGGCAGAGCCGCTGAAGTATGGTTCCCGAGGGGTGGCGAAGCACCGCCCTCACTCCAGGCCACCTCCTCAGCTCTCGTTTTTGCCCCCCAGTCTTGGGGCGGCCAGAGCTGAGAGGCATCAAAACCAATGCACAGCCAGCCCCTGCCACTAGCCCCTGCCGGTCTGCACATCTTCTATTTATGTTCCTTGGAGAAGAAATGGTTGGTTGCCATGTTTCTGTTAGCGGTCATGTAATGCCATTGCCCGCTCTGGTACATTCACTCGATCACCAATTTGCCTCTGACCTCTGGAGGGGCGGCCAGGCCCACAGCGCCCACCGTGAGGGTCCTGGGGAGAGTCTAGCCCACCCTGCCCACTGCTTCCCGGCTGCGAGGGCAAGCAAGACAGGCCCGCCTAGGAATGGGGGCCTTTGGCCTCCCAAGGCCCGTGAGAGGTCAGCAACCAGCTTCCTCCCTCAGCCCGTGGCCTAGTCCGACGTATCAGACCAAGACAGACAGAGATGGACGGTCTTGCTGAGGGGGTGCCGCTGCTTTTCCAAAGGCAATCCTCCTCCACCTCTCCCTCCTATCCAAGGCAAACCATTCTTGACAGAGTCTAGGAAGGGGGTTGTCCGTTTGGGCCCCCCGCAGAGATCTTGAGTCCCCGCTACAAGGGAGGTGTGGCGTGTCCGCCCTGCTCCAATCCAGGGTGTCTCACCTCCACAAGTCAACTTGCTCAAAGGCTCTGCTCCAAGGGTCTGCGCGCCCTCGTTACCTCCCCAGTCTGCCCCCGCCCTTCCCCCAGCAGACCTTCTTGATAGTAACAAGCAAGAGAACCATTCCTGGCCCCAGTGAGAATGGAGAGTCAGTGACTCTAGGCAGGCTCCTAGAAGGGCAGCAGCAGAATCCATCTGGGAGCCGCTACTGGTTTATAAGCCATCGCCACGCCCTGTGCTCAGCGAGGCCCTGCTCCCCAACCCTGTTCAAGCCTCTGCCCTCGCTCTATACCCTCAGCCACGTCAAAGGGCCCCCCCGGCAGCAGCTAGAACCTACAGAGGCCCTCTCATTCACCCTCTCCCACTGAAGCATCTTTTCCGAGAGCTGACCGCGCCCCCCAGGCCCTCCCATGTCCACAGGGAGCCCAATGGCATTACATAACCCTGAGCCCGGGTCAATGAAGTGCACTAGTCGAGTGAAGGCAAGGCGGGTGTGTTTAGAACAAAGTTGCCATCAGGATTACCTTGTCCACTGAGATTGGGGTTTGTGTAGTCCCAAGTATCCTGATCATTCTTGAACACATTCAAGCGTGTGGGCTGCAGGGACAAGATAAAGCTTGAAATTAGCCAGGCCCCAGCTCACCTGGAAGCTGGCAAAGGGTAGTCATTTCCTAGACCTACCTTCGCGTATTCGATCTTCAGAGTGCAACAGCCTGAGTAAATGTCAGCCCCATTGAGCGAGGCCTTGGCCCGCTGGGCACTCTGCACAGAATCAAATGTGGGTAAAGTTAAGGAAAGCCCCCAGACAGGTGCTCTTTGGAAAAGGCTTCAAGCGGTCCCAGAAAGGGAGGAGGATGAGGAAGCACCCAAAGACCATACTGCATGTGAGCTCTGGGGTTAGTTCACTGGCCAGTCACTAGCCGCTCACACAGAGAGGGGCTGGAATGCTGCCCTGGGTGGGCAGTCACTGTCCAGTTCCTCTGTCATCTGCACTCCCAACCCCACCAGCCCAGAGGTGGCAGCAACTCCCTCTGCCACCACCCCAGGCCAAGCCACTTTCCCTTTGCCCAAACTTCTCCCTCTCGTGCCTTGTGCTTTGACTAAGCCTGGACAATCTCTGAAACATCAACCAGATGACATTCTTGCCTGGAACTCCGTCAGTGGCTTCCCACCGCACCCTGACCATGCTTCACAGCACTGCCTGAGAAGCCCTGCTCACTGCTTCCAACGCCCACAGGGAACCTTCTGTCCTTCATCAGCCATCAGGCCGTTTGCTATCTCCAACACTAAGGACCTGAGGACCTTTACAGAGACTGTTCTTCCGCCCTGAATACCAGCTCCTATCTCCTCATGGCAACAGAGTATCACCCCGCCATATCTGCCAGTCGCTCCTCCCCTCCACGGCACTTTAGACTCTGACCTTTCACGACATGCCTTACTGTTCATTAACGATCCCTCCCATCAGACGAGGGGCTCTAGGAAGGGATCTGGCACCTGGCAGCCATTAGGGCTCTGTGCTGGTTGAACGGATGGGGCCCTGCCGAGCCTTGTGAGAGCCCTCACCTCAAAGAACACCCCTTTCCCAACAAAGGATATTCCACCATGGCCTGGACTCCATTCTTCCGGAAAATAACAATTCTCTGGACAGGACCACAAGGGTTGCAGATAGTGTAAAGAACATCCTATAAAAAGCACACAGGCAAGATGAAAGGGCACTGGCAGGTCAGTGTGGTTCAGGGGAGAGGACGGGAGGAAGAGAGAGCTCACAAAACCATCTAAAAGAAGGCCTGTTGGCACGCACCGTGGTAATGGAATAAATCGGGTTCAGGATGGTAAAGAGAAGCACACTGTTGACGCTCCGGGAGTCATCTGAGTCCCCGGGGCGGGAGATCTTCTGGCTGGTAGAGTAATTGACAAAAGCTGGGTGGCCAGCAATGTAGATTTGGTTGTCGGCTGCGTAGTTCACAGCGTTGCAAGCCCCCAACACGTCTTCAAACTCCACCAACGCTTGTCTCTTTTTAGGCATTACTACCACATAGCTGGCAGAGAAAACACACGTTTCAGTCCTCTCGGGGGAACACAGACAAGAGGATGACATTCAACTTTCCCTGAATGGACTCATCTCTCTGGACTCCTCTGTACCTCCACCATGGTTTCCTGACCTGAAGACCCTCACCCTAAGTGGCACAATAGGCAAAAGAGATGTAGCTGTGGCATCACTTCCTCTGGGAAGCCTTCCTTCCTGAGTCCTCCTCCCCTGAGTCAGATGCCTCCCGCAGGCTCCTGGGCTTTCCTATCACAGTACTGATCACTCTGGGTGGGCAGCTATCTGGGAGGAGCCCAAAAACTTCATTTGCTACTCTATTCCCAGTACCTAACATAAGCGAGAGAATGCAGATTAGAAGTTAGAGGCAGGGGGAAGAAAAAAAAAAAAGACATGAAACTTGCTATAACCTGACCAAAGTATAAGGGCCAAACATAAGAGTGGAGGAGTCCCAGGACCTAGCCAAGGGACCCTGGGCCAAACTGGCCATGTCACTTCCAACAGAAGCTAAGGACGCACAGTACACCAAGGAGTTGAATTCTATGTCCAACCCGGGGCCTCTGACTGGAGTACCTGATGGGTCCAAATTCCTGCAAGGCCTCTACAAGGTCAGCTTCCACCACACCGTCAATCAGGCCCCTGATGTGGACAACTGGGGAGGCAGGGGTTTTGTGTGGGTCATCGTAGTTCTCCTGAGAAAAGAAACAAGAACGTAACTTCATTTCCTGCTGTACAAGATGGTAGCCCACTGCCCTCTGTGCTTTTGAGGACCCAATCAGATAAGACACTTAAGTGTCACACAGAGCAGACAACAAGGGATGGCAATACAAACCAATGACCCCAAAAAGATTTTGGCCCAGCAGTGCTCAGGCCCTGAGTGGGTGGCCACTTGCCTATACCTCTTGCTGTAGCTTCTGAGGAAGGCAGAATGGAAAACAAGGCATGCCCCATAGCTTATACTCCTCCTAGAATTTTTCTCTTCCCACTGGTCAAGGAAATGGGAGAAAAGATTGGGATGGAAAGGGGACAGCATTGGCAGGAAGGGCTCAAACAGCTTTTTGCTGCAGTCTGAATCACACCATTCTCTTGGAATGTTTCTTTGCCCTTTCCCTTGTGCAACAACAAGCCCAGCCAAGCATTGCTGTTCCCACCACTCACCCCCAGGATCAATCATGGTAAAACACCCCATGCCCCAAAAGCTGTGAAAGCCACTTCTAGTCTTTATAACCACCCACAAAAATCTGTGGTAGAAAATACTGCCTAGGCTCGACTATGGAAAATCAAGATGAGAAAGGTCCTTCAGAAAAAAAAGAAACTCCAACCCACATCACTAAAAACCAAGACGGTTCCCTCCCAAGAAGTATCTTTCCACCCACACAGAGAGAAGCCTCTGAATCAGGAGGAAAGTAACTTTCTCCATGTCTCCTGGGCTCTGGGCCCAACCTCCTGTTTGAGAGCCACCAAGCAGAAGCCCATGGAACGGGGCAGAAGTGGATTCTATTTCAGGAACGAACCACACAAACCACAGGAGGCACATCCGCCTGCTGGTTACCAGCTCAGCGGTTTGGAGTTCCATAGCCCATAAATTCTAATCCCAGCCCCTCCCCCCCCACTAGCTATATGATCTAAACAAATTTACCTCAGCTCTACAAGTCCCGAATTGTAATCCCATCCTGTACCTCATACAAAACTGTTGGAAGATTTAGTTCAAGTAGTTTTAAAATGTGTGCAATAAGTCCTGCCACAATTTAAACCACTAGAAATCATAGCTAGAAATCACCACCAAACCCTGGAAAATCCTGCAAATGGCTGAACGGGAGAGGACTTCATGAACTTGCAGGGAGGAGGGAACAGGCTCCAAGCCAGGAGGAACAAATGGTGGTCCTTTCCGACAAGGAGACCAAAGACGTCGAATCCCTTCCAAAACGCCCACCCTCAGGAACATTTTTGTTCACCAAACCAACTGCACCCAGTTAACCCCAGGAAATTTTAAGAAAACTTGTGATGGTTCCAAAATTTAGTTCAATTCCCAAACGGCATAAAAGACCTTCACAAGCCCCTTTCTTCCGGTTTTCAAAGCCCACACAAATGGGGATATATTCTGTTCTGGGGGAATATCCTCAAATTAAATTAACTTCTGTGTCGACACAAACCATGACATTATAAAGATTAAACAGCGATCGGCCAGAATTCCCCACTCAGGCGCGGAAAAGGCCACCGCCCACCCGTTCCCGCTCACGCGGTGCTCCCCCCCCCCCCCCCGCCCACGAGGCCCAAGCAGAAGTGCGCTTGCGCGTGAGGGCAGTGAATTAAACGATAAAGGAAAAAAAACGGCCCGGCCCCCCACACTCAAGCCCGCGGCGCCTGCGCACTGCGCCACCCGCAGCGCGAGCTCCTTCCTCCGCCTCCCACACCCCCCCACCGCTCTGAATACCGCGCACGCGCAAGCTCCTGTCCTCGCGCAAACCCCGCCGTTTGCCCAACGCCTGCCCCTCCCCCACCCCGTCACGGCGTGAGGGCCTGGGCGCGTGCGCAGAGGCGCCCCCCTCAAATGAATACCCTCAAGGTGGAAATTTTTCCGTCCCTTCCCGGCCGTCCCCGGCACCTAGGGCCCTGGCCTCACCCCGCCGCCGCCACCCGCCGCCCCGGCTCCTCCACCGCCGCCGCCGCCGCCTCCGTGCTGGTCGCCAGCGTTGTCCGTCTTGAGCCGCTTAGGGGCTCGGCCGCCCTCACTGCCGCCGCCGTAGTAGCGGCCACCGCCGCCTCCGCCGCCCGCCGCCGCCATCTTCACCATCGCTCCCGACCGCCTCCGCTGCTCGTCCGGCTGCTGCCTCTGCTCCAGCCGCCGACGCCGCTTCTCCGCCCGGGGCAGCAGCCTCCGCGACATGGCGGCGCAGAACCCGCCTCCCCCCGCCTCTCATTGGGGGAGGGACACGCCCGTCACTCGCCGCCCCCACCCGATAGGGGGAGCCACTGGTCCCGCCAAGGGGGGAGGGGAAGCCTCCGCCTGCCCTGCGCGCCTATTGGGTACAGCCCACGCCGTTCTTCAGACGGGCCCGCCCTCATTTGTCTGGGACACTCCTTATAGGCGAGCGCTTTCTGCCAGTCATCTGGCTGACCCCGCCGCCTTAAAATAAACTCCAATTTGATAGGTCGGATTTCTGGCCCTGCCTGGCCTTCCTTGGAGCATCTGATAGGAACGAGGCTCCCCACTCGCCCGAAAAGCCCCGCCTTCTTCCCACTTTCACTGGCTTCCTCACTAATCCATCAAACCGAAAATTCTTAGTGCTCCAGTCAAAACGACTACCTTCCCGCGCCACTCCGCAAGGAGGAAAGGAAACCCCTCCCTTTTGCCTCTCTCCAGTGGTTACTGCAGATGCCCATCTTCTACGTCTCTACCCGATTAGTCAATGAAGAGTGGAAAGGGTCGTAGGACCACCGGTGGTCTTTGATTGGGTGAAAAAGGAAAGCCCTCCCCAAGCCGGCAGGCGCTCTTTGGCGCAGTCTAGGAAAGGATCGGAGGCGAGAGCGCAGGCGCGAATAGGCTTTCGGGCGGCTCTGGAGGCGGGGCAACCCTCTAAACCGGCGAAGGCCTGGCATACCCCCAGTATTTATTGACGTGCTGTGTAGCGCCCGAGGGCTAGACCGAGACGGAGAGGCAGCTGCTAGTTCGGCTCTGTCCCCACCGCTATACCCTATTCCTCTCCACCTCGAGCCCCCACAACGCCGGAGGAATTTTAACAACCCAAACTTAACCCTTTCGGTAGAAAACCATTTGCCGCTGCCGACGGTCTTCGGACCCTGTCAAGTTCGCCGGCGTCCTTTCACCGCTCCGCCCCACCTCCAAATTCAGCCATAAGAGCGTCTTTCAGTTTGCACAAAGGGAAGGACCTCTCACGCACTTTTCGATCTTTGCCCGTGCAGGCCCTTCCATCTAGAACCTTTGTCCGCCACCCCTCCTACGGGGGGAATCACTCCTCTTGTCCGTGCAGCAGTCTCCACTCTGAAAAGCGTTCCTTGTCCCAACCAGGCCCGACCCCGAGCCTGCTCTATGGTAACCCCTGACCACGCAGGCCCGTGGTTTTCACGCGACAGCCCTGACCTCTGCGGCTCGTCACGGTCTGGTGACTGTCCCTTTTCCAGCGGGGAAGTCCTGTGTGGGTAAGGGAGCGGGGATCCCTGCCTAAGCCTTAGGCTGGCTCCCCTACCAGGCACCAGGTACAGAACCCGGCACAGCGCTCGCGCTCTGCAAAGGGGAGTCCTGGTGTTCTAAGTGTCCGGCGGGCCTTGCCTGCCTTGGGGACCGGTCCAACGACGCCCAATAGCCGGAACCTAGGGGCGGGGCCGCGAGCTGAGCCAGGATCCCGCGTTATGGGGCTGCTTCTTGGGGGTGGGAGGGGAGACACTGCGCTTAGAGAGGACTGAGTCGTGAGAAATAGGGGCGACTCCCCCAAAGATGCTTCGGAATCTTCCCAACGGTGAAAGGGGGCTCCCGAACTAGGAGCCCTCGTGGAAACTAAGTTTGAAATGGGGGTCAGGGGCGCGAAGAGAGTGAGACAGGATTGGTGGGTTCGCAGATTTGGGGAGATAAAGTTGAGAGCGGGCTGACGGAGATCTACATCAGTTCCCGGTCACACTGGGAAGATCCGAAAACCCAGGCGGAACATAGGTGGGGGGGCGGCGCAGCGCCTTCAACACGTGATCGGTGCGCCGAGGGGCGGGGCGGGCCCCACTGAAGGGCGGGGTCGCGAGGTCCCGACGTCAGAGGAATGCGGTGGGGGG